AACATGTATTTACTGGCCCTTTAAAAGGTCAAGGTAAATGTAACATTACAGAGCTGTACATAATCTAGAGAAGTGACTTACATTGAATAATGCCAAGTATTGAATATAATATAAACAATGTCTTTATCAGTAACAATATATGTAATAATGTGTATGCATATGTAACAAATATTTTCTTTCATTGATCATGTAGATGAAATCTGGATGTCAGTTCCATTTGATAGTGACTCATCTGGAACTTCGGACGATGAAGAAGATGATGTATGTATACTTTCATCTCTACATTTATATGTAAGGTATCCAGCAAAGGTATCAACTTTTCTATACATCAACACTTTGCTCTTACAACTATTGTTTTCATTGCTAAAAATCATAATTATGGTATATAAAGGAAAAGGGGCTGACTCAGCCTGCCAGTTTCACTGACATATCAATCATATAAACTAATACATCATGATTGGGTGGACTGACCCTATGAATGTTGAGATAAACTGCACTGGGTACTGTGTAATGTCTTATCTGTTTTTGTCATAGATCACTTTTGTATTATAAAAGATAAACAGTAAAAACAAAAAATATATTAGTCATTATTATACATTGCATCAACTCAAGTTTTAATTTTTTTGTGTGTCTTATATTAGGAACCGGAAGGCATTCAACAAGATGAAGATGGATCCCCAGGACAACACAGGAGACCGAACTCAGCGTTATGGTACAGGAAGAAGGTATGCCACTGTCATCCTGAGAACACAATCTGCAGTTTTACTAAACTTTAAAACAGGAGCAGACAGAAAATGGAACAGTTTCCCATAGTAACCAATCAGCTTCTCTCACTTTGTTCAGTTCAAGCTTTACAAATGAAAGATAGAAGCTGGTCGCCATGGGAAACTTCTCCGGGTTTAGTCTGCTCCAACTTTGATAAATTCCCCTCCTTGCATGTTAGGCTTTTACTTGTACTAAGGAGAATATGAATACTGCTACTGCTGCTCCCCTAGTTGTCTAGCTGTCAAGTTTTCTGAACCACAGACCAATGCAAGTCTGTCAATCAGGTGGTCTAAGTTCAGTGTCTACATGCTTGGTCCAGGTGCTCGTTTTATGGAGCTTAATTATGGAAGCACCATTGTTTTTTGCCATTTTGTAATGGGAAATAGTGATTCTGGGAATTTTTTGTCTTATAAAGCTGCTCTGGGCAGCAGACAGGCATAAAAATATTTGGGCGAAAACATAATTTTGTATTCGTTTTAGAAATTTTTAACCAATTTACTAGGGACGCACCGATATATCGGCCGAAAATGGCACTTTTGGCATAATGCAGAAAGTGCCATTTTCCTGCCAATACATCGGCGCATCCCTGCTTTCTTTCCTTCCCACTGGGAGCTGCTCTGCCTCCTATCACAGACCGGCAGAGCGGTGTGTGGGCGGAGACAGGCCACGCTGTCACAGGAGGCTGAGCTCTCCTCCCTGCACCGCTCGCTCAGGCTCCTGTGACAGCGTGTCAGAGAGGAGACACAATGCAAACACTCAGCGATCAGTGATTGCTGAGTGTTTGTATATAATTGAGGAAATGGTAAGTGTACTATATCCTCAATTATGAATGAATGGGAGTGATCTACATCACCTCTTGTTCATTCATAGTTGTAGTTATAGTAAACATACCATGTCCTCATGTTATGAATGAACAGGAACACTCAGTATAGAGGATTCCTGTTTATTGATAACAGGGGATATTTTAAAAGGGAAATATCAGGGGTCTGTTTAGATCCCTAATATTTCCCCGAAGCCCCGAAAAGTAAAGTAAAAAATTAAAATTTTAAAAGGGAAATATCAGGGGTCTGTTTAGATCCCTAATATTTCCCCGAAGCCCCGAAAAGTAAAGTAAAAAATTAAAACATTTAATAAAAAATGAATTAACAAATAAAAATAAATATAATGGATAGTGCAATACAAGCAAATGCTTTGCACTTATGGAAAACCACAGTAGCCTGTACTATCTGTAGGTTCACTTGCATTCCAACCTATCACTCACTGGAATAGTTGTCAGAATTTCTTCAAGATGCAGCATGAGTGTTCCATCCATCAAAAGTACTCAGGACAAGAAAACTTTGCAAAGAATCTATTCACTAAAAATGCTGATACATTTCAAAATGAGCGATGAGCAATGGCTTAAAGTCTTCATATATCATGCAAATGGAGATGCAAACAGCTGTTTATAGCCAAAACATATCTACAGTCATTTGTATCCTAAATATTCAGATGCGAATGGCAAAATTATTTTTCAAGGATAAGACCGTATAATACATTGTGGGGAAGTACCTGCCGGCAGCCATCTTGGTGAAGGACGCCGGCAGAGAGAGGAGGGGACAGTCACCCGGCGGGATAAGGTATGCCGCCGGGTCCCCTCCTCTCTCCTGATACTGTCGGGCGTTTGGTCCATGAGCGAGCGCCCGACTTTTCAGAGGGGGTGACACCAAAATGACTATCAGTCATTTTGGTGTCACCCCTCCAATGGTGTCACCCGGGTGCGGGCTGCACCCCCCGCACCCCCCTTTCGACACCACTGCCATACACATCTCCTCCCGCCCAGCTCTTAGCAACCTGGGATTCTGTTGCCGGCATTCCACCGAGCTCCTGGCAACCAGTGACGTCACTTGTTGCCAGGAGCTCGGCGGGATGCCGGCAAGAGCCTTCCAGGTTGGTAAGATCTGGGCAAGGAGATGCAGGGCCCTTACACATCTCCCTGTTCTGGCTCTTAGTGGTGTCACTCTCCACCAGCACCCCTCCTTACCCACTGATTGTGGACCATCCAGCAACATCCCCCGGGCCGCCTGAGGCGGTAAAAAGCCCAAGGACACCCTTTCTTATTGATATGACCATTTAGTAAAAAATGCCCTTAATTTAATTTTAGTGCCCGTTAAAACACAATATAATACCCCATGTTTTGTAAAATATAAAAGATAATGTTACGATGAGTAAATAGATACCCAACCATATCTACACCATGAAAAAGCGACAAAATACGGTACCCCACATTGTCCATAGGCAATGCTTTAAAAGCCTGTACAGGCCATCAGTTTGGAGATATCCATGAATATAATTATTGATCTCTGCGCATGCAGCGATACCTAACATGTGTAGTGCGATCATCGTTTTTGTATATAGGCACACCCGACATGTGTTTACGTTAATACGCGTGCTAGCAAGGGCGAGGTCATTCACTTTTTTTATTATATATTTACATTTATTTTATTTGATCTTATTTTTTTAAAAACTTTTTTACATTACTTTATTGCTATCACATAAGGGGACTTGCAAGCCCCCTATGTGATAGCACATTGGAGGCGACAGTTACTCTTTAAGACCCTAGTTTCACCATTCCAATAGCATATTGGAAAGCTATTTCGCACTCCAATAGCTTATTGCCGGCTCCTGCAGCTGAGCAATGACAGCTAAGGAACCGGAAGTGATGCGATCAACATCGCTTCCAGTTCCTTAAAGCGGGGAGGAGATCTGCAAAGGGATGTTCATCAGTCTCCTCCCCGGCATCCCACCGACACCTGACAGGCTGGTCCTGGGCCCGCAGGAGGGGCAGTGGAGCTAGGGGAGCATGGCGGGGGTGCTGGGCGTGGAGGGGGGCGCCAGCTCAGTTCAGCTGCCAGGATCGCTTCCACAGTCAGCTTTACAAATGTAAATAGCTATAGCCGCCGGGAGTCTGTTTAAAGGAGAACTATGGGGTCAGTGTTTTTCCCCATAGTTCTCCTTAGGGTAACGGGAGGACACAAACTAGCGCCCTCCCGTTACCCTAAGCTCAGTATACCGCGAACTACAGCTCGCGCTATACTGAGACGCCGCAGCCGGAGCGGATCCCAACATAGACGTCGAGATCCGCCCAGCTGCGTGAGTGACAGCTGGCTCTGCCTATCTAGAGGCAGAGCCAGCTGTACGCGCCCCCGTCCGTACTGCCAGTCAGCGCTGGCAGATCGGAGCGGGGAGAGGGGAATCCAGCCCCTCCCTCTGTCACGGCAGAGAGCCGTGACAGGATCGAGAGGTGAGCGAACCCGGTATGTGTTCGCTCATCTCCCGATCTACTGAGCCGACCTGTGACAGTCTCATTGTCACAGGTTGGCTAGAACTATGAGGTGAGTGAAAAGCACTCACCTCATAGTTCTCCTTTAAAGGACCCGCTACCACCTCTGTGGCAGCGAAAGGGTTTTAAACTGATTCTGGTATCAGCAACCAGGAAGCCTCCAACTTCCATTTTACAGTTACAGTGGAGCAAAACTCAAAAAGTGAAGATTTTCTATGTCAAACATTTAGAAATGTTAATTGTGTCTCAACCCTGAAAAGTCTTTTTAACGTGAATGGCGGTTCAGAAGAAGCAGAGCAGGGCTGATACATGAATTATACATTGCATCAGGCAACCTCAGCACTCCAGCTGTTGTGGAACTACAAGCCCCATGAGGCATGGCAAGACTCTAATAGCCATATACATGACTCCCAGAGGCAGATGCATGATGGCATTTGTAGTTTCACCACAGCTGGATTGATGAGATTGCCTACCTATGCACTACATAGGTGTTGGTAAATCTAAGAGAGATTGTACAATCAGATTGTAACGCGTGTGGTGGGCGATTTCACATGGACTGCAAAATCTATGTTTCGATGGATTGTATCCTGGTCGTCCGTCTGTATGTGACCATAGATCTGCCTGTGTATACTCTGCTTTAAAATACAAGGATCTGGATCGTTTTTATTATGTGACTTCCTCCTAAAATCAGGAATTGTGTCCAACATTCCAAACACATTTTCTATTTAATATATTAGATCGGTTCCCATAGTTCAATCAGATCATCGTGAAAGGACAGTTAGGTGTGGGAAGAATGTCGTGCTGTGCACACAGGTAGATGAACGATCTCTGTCACCGGGGCAGACAATGAATATTGAGTTATGCTAATCAGCTTCCTCGCGGTTGCTAGGACACGGTTGTTGTTGGTAACCGGGCCTGGGAATGCAGCAAAGCCTGGTGGAGTCACACTGTGCCAGCGAAGGGACTGCCGGGGACCTGAGGACGGAGAGGAAGGTAGGGATCTGACCGGGGCGGGTACCGTTCCCAACGATACGATGCGATGATCGGGTGGAGCGGGCCCCGGGCAGTGTTATCACCGGCTCCGTGCGGGGGAAGTTGCTGTAGATGAGTTCTATGAGGTGTATTAGATTATCGGTTCTGGGTTACAATTGTTTCTATACACAGACTAAGATGGCTGCTTTAAAGGGAACCTGTCACTTTGGACTTCAGGGCCCATTCACACTTTGTCACTTTTGTGCATTGCGTTGTCACATGTTAACGTGCGGCGCACTAATCAGCTGTTTACACCAGATGCGTTGGGGTTGCGCTTACAGCCTTACCCAGCGCGCTCAGAACGCATAGCAAGGGAAAAAGCGTTGTTTTCACACCGTAGCCTGGCGGTGGTATCCATCGGAAAAAAAATAAATTGATGGCATGAGGTTGTTTTTTTTAATTATTTTTTTTTCTTATGACACAACCCTCCACATCACAACACAATAGGTGGATAAAATGTCTCTGTGACATGTCAATCAAGTTCTAACAAAAAATAAAAATAAATTGTGCGATGTGTTGAAATCAGCGCATTGTTCATTGAACGGCGACAGCTGGCTGGTGTGAACCGACCCTAAGGAAGGTCATTCAAAACGAACGCACGGCCGCTGGTGTTCAATGAGCAATGTAAATGCACATAAAACTCTTTACTTTTTTTTTTGTTAAAACTTTATTAAAAGGTCCCAGTTGCACATTGCCAAGTGCCAAATCACGTTGCACCCATCTGTTTTTGCCTGTGCTGTGTACCAAGGGCAAACAAAACATAAAGAAGAACTGAAGCCAAAACATTTTTTAGTTTTGGATACAGTAAGATTTTTTTTCCTCATCTGTGTCCGATTAGGGAAATTTGCCCTCACTTCCTGTCCAATAGCTACAACAGAAAGTGAGAGGAAGTTCCTCCAAAGAGATAGCAATCCCTGGTGGTCAGCTGAGCCATGGGTAGTCCTATCAACAGCAGAAAATCATCAGATTCCCCCATCCACTCTAAACAGCATGGCTGGAGGAGTCCCCAGTGATGGCTGTTTTATTCAGACGGCCGCAGCACCTGCTGCTTGAATACCTGAACAGTGATAGTATGCGGTCACGGCTCAGCTGATAATTTACTTAGTTAAGTCAATTTGTAAATCAACTTTTTTCGAGCTGGGTGGAAATTTATCCGCAGAGCATTAATTGCATTCTTTCACTTTTCGTGTATTCTGGCAGCCGTGGGTGCTGCGGCTGTCTGAATACAATAGTCCTCACTGGGGATTCCTTAATCTGTGCTATTTGTGGATGGGGGAATCTATAAATTTTCTATCTTTCAGTCCATGTTGGCATTCCTGGGAACTATTGTTTCCCATTTAAGAATTTCTCTCAGGCCATTATTGGGGTATATACACATTGGGGATATAGTAAGCATTAGCCCTCATTCACACGAGAAAAGGCCGGCACGTGCAGCTCTGTGCTGCGTGCACGGCCGTATCGGTCAGCTCCCAGGAAGGACAGGTGGTGTGTGTGATTAGTATGCAGCCTCTGTCCTTCTCTATGGGACTACGCAGCCATACGCTGCCCTACGCTCACCCTAAGTGCAGGTCCGTACGGGTGCGGGTGTCCCGGCTCGGACGGAGACAGGATCCATCCTGTCAGCGTACGAGTACGGACACCCACAGGGACATGTAGGGTGTGTGAGCGTAGGGCGGCGTACGGCCACGTAGTCCTATAGAGAAGGAAGGGGGCTGCGTACTAATCACACACAGCACCTGTCCTTCCCGGGAGCTGCCCGATGCGGCCGTGCACGCAGCACAGAGCTGTACGTGCTGGCCGTTCCTCATGTAAATGAGGCCTAAGGCCTCATTCACACAGGGTAGAGTGGGGTCGGACAGATCCATGTGGCGTGCACGGCCGTTTTGGGCCGTTCCCATGAAGGACAGGTGCTGCTTGTGATTATACAGCAGCCTGTCCTTCCCTATGGGAGTACACGGCCTTATGCTCACCCGAGCGGCACATCCGTGCCGGTGTCCGTGCTCGGACTCACACAGGATCCATCCTGTCGGCGTCCGAGTACAGACACCTGCACCCACACGCATGTGCAGTTCGGGTGAGCATACGGCCGTGTACTCCCATAGAGAAGAACAGGATATCACACGCAGCACCTGTCCTTCCCGGGAACAGCCCGATACGGCCATGCACGCAGCACGGATCTGTACGGCCCCACTTTGCGCTGTGTGACTGAGGCCTTAAAGGAGAACTATGAGGTGAGTGATTGTCACTCACCTCATAGTTCTAGCCGACCTGTGACAATGAGACTGTCACAGGTCGGCTCAGTAGATCGGGAGTGGAGCGAACACATACTGGCGTTCGCTCACCTCTCGATCCTGTCACGGCTCTCTGCTGTGACAGGGGAGGGGCTGGATTCCCCCGCTTTGATCCGCCAGCACTGACTGGCGGAACGGACGGGGGAGGGGCGGGTACAGCTGGCTCTGCCTTTAGATAGGTAGAGCCAGCTGTCAGTCACGCAGCTGTGCGGATCCAGGCATAATTGTCGGGATCCGCTTCAGCTGCGGCGTCTCAGTATACCGCTTCAGCTGCTCGCGGTATACTGCGGCGTCTCAGTATACCGCTTCAGCTGCTCGTGGTATACTGCGGCGTCTCAGTATACCGCGAGCTACAGCTCGCGGTATACTGAGCCTAGGCTGACGGCAGGACGCTAGTTTGTGTCCTCCCGTTACCCTAAGGAGAACTATGGGGAAAAGACTTAACCCCATAGTTCTCCTTTAAGAGTGGATTTGTTTCTGAACAATAAATAAGGACTTTCTCCAATGCGTTCTTCATCCCACGCGGGTGTTGTGTGTTTAATCCTGTGTAACATAGAGAACAAGACGCGACCATCTGAAAGCACATACGTGAGATTTCTTGTGCGCTCTGAACTGAGGGGGACGTAATGGAAGTAACAGAGATGGGAAAACCATGTGCACTGATGGGCCCGGCTAGCTAGTGAATTTACAGGTTCCATAGAGCGCTGGAGAGACATTTCCTGTTCATGTTTAATCTGAAATCAGTGCACATTACTGAGCTGGCTGCTGGCAGTGTACACAGAACGTCTGCTGAGGATCTCAGGCTGAACAACAAAGGACTCCGGGCTACCGAAAAACAAGAGATTGTTTTCAAAGAAGGATACAAATCACTGCATGGAATCAGTTAAAGGAAAAGTCCATCTTAAAAAATAAATGCGCACACATTCATAAAAGAAAAAATGTGCGTTCATTATATTTTTGCATTGGAGCCAGTAAAGCATTGCAACTGCGATCAGTGGATCCTGGGTGCAATGCTCTGGCAGATTCTCCCTCCCATTCATGTCTATACTGAGGAACGAATTGTATAGAAGGGGAAATCCTTCGCACACCTTGCAGCAACCAAGGCCTATGTAGACAATGGTGTTTGTAGTGATGAACACGGATGGCACCGTGCAGACACAATGTAGGAAGAGGAATCACCAGCACTCAGTAGAATAACCCAACCTGTCCATTTATTGGACATAGACATCACACAATCACAAGAGCCAACGTTTCGAGACCACGCAGGGTCTCTTCATCAGGGCATAAAGAGTGACGATTAGCCCTTGCAGTGTGGCCACCCCTCACTGCAAGGGTTAACTGCTTGTTTTGATCTAAGGGCTGGATTAAAGTAGACTCACCTGATCCCGCCTGGCTGCTAGACCAATCCCTGCAGCCCCTTCTCCCCCGGGGCTCTGGCAGTCTAAGCCCACTGATGTCATCACCTCTAATGGAAGTCCATTGAGATCTCCCTGTATCACATGGGGGGGCTTGTAACACAAACTAGCGTTCTCCCGTGACCCAAAGCTCAGTATACCGCGAGCTACAGCTCGCAATATATTGAGACGCCGCAATCGGGACGGATCCCGACAATGTCTGGATCCACCCAGCTGCGAGGATTGACAGCTGGCTCTGCCTATCCAGGGGCAGAGCCAGCTGTGCCCGCCCCCCCCCCTTCCGTTTCGCCAGTCAGCGCTGTAGGATCGGACAGGGGAAAGGGGGGGGGGGAATCGCTGCAGGGAGCCGTGAGTGACAGTCACAGCTCTCTGCAGGGATCAATCGAGAAGTGAGCAAGCGACGGTATGTGTACGCTCACTTCCCGAATTATCTCTTTTTTTTTGCCTGCGTGGCACCTATATTGCCATATCCACATTGACCACATGGTTTAAAGGTGTACACTAGTCAAAATGAACCATTAAACCTGGAGATACATACAGGGAGCATACCCAACGTGTTCAATACTATTAGTTTTACATTCAGGCATTGTTGTATTGCACTAGTCCACCAAACTTTTGTAGGCGGAAGCTGGCAGACTCCCTTGCATATAGAAATCTTGATGTATTCTGACTGCAGGGGATTACAGAGAAATCAGATTAAAGCCCAACTCCAGGCTCTTCTCCCTTTGTTCCTTCCACGTTATATAAGCAGAAGCGTAACCTTTAAAAATGTAAAAATACTTACCCTTTTTCCAAGTGTCTTCAAGTGGGTCAGATGGCATCACGGCTCCTCTTCTTTCTCTGTTCTCTGCAGTTCCTGTTCTCTGCAGCATTTTCCTATAGGCCCAGGGGTGTAGCCTTGACCTGTGTGTCCAAGTCAGGGGTGGAGCCTGGGCCCACAGGAAGACAAGCATCCTTGGATTAGTGAGTCCGCGGATTCAGCGACAGAGATCTTTTTAGTGTAGTAGCGGAGCTGTTTTTTCTATTTTTAGAAGATGCCAAGAACTAAAAATTGTATTCATTGATCTGCCTGCAATTAGCATATCTGTAATAAATAAATCAAAGCAAATGGACTTGCTGTATTTTTCTTGAAGATGTTTCACTGGTCATCTGACTACCCTTTTCAATTCAGATATTTGAAAGCTAGTTAGGTGACCAGCAAAAATGTCTTCAAGAAAAATTCATCAAGTCTAGTGGCTTTGATTTCATTTCTTAC